GACCCGCGGGCTCGGGGCAGCCGGCAGGACCGCGGCGCCGGGGAGTTACCCTACCTGTTCAGGGCGCGGGACTCTCTGGGGACCTGGTGCCCGACAGTCGCGGGTAGAAGGGACTTAGGGGATGGTTGTCACAGCTGGAGTCCCTTTAAGGTTCCGCCCCTCGTTCCCCTACAGCCTCGGGCTGCACCTCCGATCTCCACCGGTTGGAATGAGAAAGCCTTCCATTGAGTGCCCCTCCCGCTTAGTTCCTTGGAGGAGCAGAGCGTTTGGCCTCCTCGGTCGCTCCCCCGCCCCCACCCTCCGCCCGGCGGATCAAGTGCAGCTGGGAACCGCCAGCTGCACTTGATCGTCTGTTAGACGATCAAACTAAGTCTGATGCTTTGGTCAGACTTAGTTTGGGCAGTGCCAGTGCAGTTCAGGTTGGTTAGAGAAGCAAGGGGCCTGGCATCAGTAACCAGCGGTTCTCAACCCGTGGGTCGCGACCCCTTTGGGGGGGGGGTCGAACGACCCTTTCACAGGGGTCGCCTAAGACCATCGGAAAACACATATATAATTACATATTGTTTTTGTGATTAATCACTATGCTTTAATTATGTTCAATTTGCAACAATGAAATTGGGGGTCACCACAACATGAGGAACTGTATTAAAGGGTCGCGGCATTCGGAAGGTTGAGAACCACTGAGTTAGATGGAGGTCTGACTTTGGCTCACTCGGCCCAGCTTTTGACCCTAGACAACTTGCTTAAGCTTAGGAGCCCCAACTTCCCCAGCAGATGGGGTTTCCTAGGGTCGGTGCGAGGGGGGAGTGAGGCAGTAAAGTGCTGAACTGGCACTTTAAAGCCTGGTCCTCGGGAAATACTCAGGTTTTTGTTGTTGTTTTTTTCATCTCTGGGGGAATGGACACAGGTGGGGAAGGAAGGGATTTGGGTTGGCCTCATGGGGCTCAGGTGTTGTGTTTTTAAGTTCCCTGCTGTTTGCATCGTCGTGACTGCCTCTCAAGCAAGGCCTGCTTTCCAAACTGGGTTTTACACTTTGGCAAGAGTGAGGAAAAGTTTTGGAGGGATTGAAGGAGCTGGCTGGAGGAGGAGGAAGGTGAAACAAAAAGCAAGGGAGAAGAGAAGGGGGGATGGAGACCAATATCTGGGTGGAGTATTCTGGCGCAAAAGAGGGCTGTGGCGCAGAAGGTGGAGCCGCTGTCTGGAATGAAGGGTAGGTGTTATGCATCTCGGTCCCCCAAGTGCCAAGCACTGCGGCTGGCACAGGACGGGGACTCAGTGACGCCTCTTGACTGAAGGAGGACAGAGTTTGTAGTGTTGGACCTGTAACAGCCTTTAAGAAGGCAGCTGCATGTGCAGATACAAAGTTGAAGGAGCTAATTGCATTTGGTTAAACCACATTTGAAGACAAAGCTTAACCAGGGATTGTGAATGGGAATCACTTGTCCCTTGTACTGCTTTTCATGCTCACCAGGGGGAGCAATGAAGCAAAAAATGATTTTTCCCTCCTTAAGTAGGGCTGCTGAAATTATGTAGACACTCCAGCCATTTGCTTATTCTAAGAACAGTGTTTAAAACGTTCTGAAACTCTCCGTGTGATCATCTTGTCTCCTTTTAGTTGTAACTTTAAAAATATTTCAGTTATTAGAGTTCAGCTCCTTGAGTCTGATTCTACTTTGTACGTACGTGACGTAAAATCTGTTAAGGGTTCAAACTGGGCATATACTGGAAGAGAATGTACGTATTAGGGTGTCTTGGAGTAGGGACCAGGGCTTGCCTGCCTGTAGTTTTCCAGTCTTACACCCACATTTCCTTTTCCTGAGCGGCCAGTGTTCTGCAGAAGCAGCAGCCTTGACCACGGCTGCCTGTGTCTGATGCACCTTGTTCTCTAGCTGCACTTGAGAGAAAAGCAAGCTCTTTGTGTAAATCTGACGGTTTAGAAGTTGGAAATGGCATATTCTTTTCTGAAGTAACTGTAATATATATTTTTTATTGATGGCTTCACTCAGGTCTGCATTGACTAGAATTCATTTAAAAGAAAAACTACTAGAAATTTACTAAGTGTCAGGTGATATCAACTCTATAAATGATTTTAACAAACCCTTCTTCCCTGATTTTACGTAGACACTGAGGATGCTAGCGAAACTGACCTGGCAAAGCATGATGAAGAAGACTATGTAGAAATGAAGGAACAGTGAGTATGAATTTTAGATTTCTATTTGGAATATAGAATTAGCAAGGAAATCTCTATAGTGACCTTGTGTGTGTGGCTTTGACCATATGTGTGCAATTTGCCCCATTTAAATTTGTCACATTTAATCAGTCTTCCTGTTATAAGAATCTTTTGAAGATATGCTAGAAAGAACCTTGAGGGAATGATCCCTGGGTAATAAGGTCATATACAGTGGGGCCTTGACTTACGAGTTTAATTCGTTCTGAGACCGAGCTCGTTAAGGAGCTCGTTAACTCAAATTACTCTATCAACTCAATGCAAAAAATTGGCCGAGAGACAGCTGGTATCTGGTATCTCAAAAAACTTGTTAGTCAGGACACTCCTAAGTCAAGGCCCCACTGTACTAGTAATTGGAGAGAACCATTCCCCACTTTTTTTTTTAAGATGTGAAAAGCATTAGAGAGGGTAAATGATGTTTCACAGCTACTGGGTTCTCAGATTGGCATGACCCCAGCAAGTATTAGCTAGATCAGCTGTCGCCAACCGGTGGTCCGCAGACCACTGGTGGTCTGTGAGGTCTGAAAGGTTGGCGACTGCTGAGCTAGATAGTATGTTAGATTCCAGAGAGTTCAGGGAGACCAGGATTGGAGAGCAGGACTTTTTTACTCCAGTGCTTTTCCCCTTATCACACGATCTCACCCTATCCCTCTTCTCATTATCTTTAACAGAGCCACAACTAAGTATGCCCAGAGAAACTAAAACCACTCACTTTTATCATAAACGCAGATGCAAGACATCATAAAAAAATATACCGATAAGTGTTTGTTGAATGTATTTTGAGGCTCTTGATTTGACTTTTTAAAATCTATCAGCTAGGCGGTCCACATTTCCTTTCCTTATAGGTCTTATTTGCAGAAGTTTTGTGACCTTCCTCTGGATTCTGTCATCTTTTCCAATCATTGGAACCCAAAGGGATAATTCAATTAAAATTTAACCAGTATGACTGAATAAAGAAAGATTATGTCATGTGATTTTTCTCATAGCTTCATCCCTGAAACTGCTTGTTTTTTTAAAAAAATTTATTTTTAGTCTCTTCAGGCTTTTTAATGATTTACCTTGGCCCATTTAAAATGTATTCTCACATACCCGTTCTTTTCTGGAATCTGAATTTTTTGTTGTCATTTACTTCTTCAGTCCTATATAATAAAAGGCTAATATGCAAATTGACTGAATGGTGGAACACAGGTCGCTATGACATGCACTGACCACCAGGGGGCAGATGCTCAATGCAGGAACTGCCCCGGGTGGTCAGTGTGTGGGAGCACCGCTCAGCCAGAAGCCATGAGCCGGGCTCATGGCTGGCGAGCACAGCAGCAGGTGGTGGGAGCCTCTTCCATCTCTGCAGCAGCGCTAAGGCTGTCCAACTGATGGCTTAGGCCCGCTCCCCACCGGCCTAAGCCGGCAGTTGGGCATCCCTCATGGGCTCCCAGACTGCAAGAGGGTGCAGGCCAGGCTGAGGGCCCCCCTGCCCCCGAGTGCACGAAATTTGTGCACCAGGCCTCTAGTGTGTTAATACTCCCTTTCAGAGACAGACTGAGAATTCAAAGTCGTTTTCTGTACACTCAATGTGGTAGAAAATTTAATACACTAGGTTCCATATCCTTACTTGTGTGTAGTTTACACACCCATTTCCTCCTGTACTTGACATGTTTAAACATTCTTTAGAGACAATCTTTTAATTGAATGTGCTCCTTAATATTTGATGATATAGAAATGATTGTGATTACAATAGAATGCCTTGTATGATTCAAGGTGAGCATTGAGAGAGAATTTTCCTAAAAGAATCAGACATTCTAAGTAATTCTTAGATTCTACCTACTTCTTCCTCATCCTATAGATAGTTGGGGTGTATTTGCAGCCTTTACTTGATTAACCCAAAGGCTGTTGTGCCTATTACCTGTTGGAGAGTAGTCTTTTTTTTTTTTTTCAGGTTGCCAATCCTGTTTTTGAATTTGGGGGTGTTTTTTCAGGTAGAGGCAAAAATATTGCTGAAATGTGATTTATATGTGGAATCTACCATTCATACAGACTTGCCAGAGTGGATAATTGCCTATAATCCACTATGAGGGGGGAAAAATAGCACATTGCATTCTTTTGCTTTGTGTGTGCTATGTGTTCTTATCTAGCTGGGGCTGCAAATAAATCATGCATTTTAACACGTTAAGCGCCAAGCCTGTTTCTCTTCCTTTCCATTTAGCCCGCGATATGCGACTTCACCAATATGCTGGCGGCACCAGTGACTGACTGGGCCGGACTGAAAGTATAGTGTCAGTCACCGGTGACTGACATGGCGCTTAACATGTTAACATTTGTTACTGAGTTACTATTATTTCTCTGATCCTAAAAAGTAGTGCTTTTAAAAATGATATGAAGATTTATTAACTTAGTGCTTACATGGCTATATAATAAAAGCCTAACCGACTGTTATGGCGGAAGGACCGAACAACCAGTCGCTATGATGCACACTGACCACTGGAGGGCAGACGCTTAACACAGGAGCTGCCCCCTGGTGATCAGTACACTCCCATAGGGAGTGCTGCTCATCCAGAAGCCGGGCTCACGGCTGGCGAACACAGCAGCGGTGGCAGGAGCCTCTCCTGCCTCCAGGGCAGTGCAAAGGAGGCAGCGAGCCTAGCGGTAAGGAGCAGTAAGCAGGCAGGCGGTAAGCAGTGAGGGGTCTCGGACTGTGAGAGGGTGCAGGCATAATCTTACTCCTTTGGAATTTATAATCTAATTGTAGAGTTGATATAAGAGCTGAATTTAATGCCTTTCCTATATTGGGGTGTGTGTGTGATATTTATACTTGTAAGTCTAGAAGAAAATGGCCTTACTTTTTCAAATTTTTTTGTATGTTCTTGCCTTACTATCATTGTCACTTATTAAAATCTGTGTGTCCTTACAGATTTTAGACTGATTCTCTAAAGTTGGGATAACAGGAGGATCTACAAAATAGGGATAGGATTTAAGAACACAGAATCCTGTCCCTTTCTGGTCCCTTTAGCTGCTGGTACATTTTAAATCAGCTAAGGGACCCCGATGAGATTCCTATAATTACCCAGGTAATTCCTGTGTGTAGATTATTCTGGAATAGAACACTGAATGTTTTTGTCTTTCATTGTGGCTTTCCTTTCTTTACAGGATGTATCAGGATAAACTAGCTTCTCTCAAGAGACAGTTACAACAGTTGCAGGAAGGTTGGTGTGTGATTTAATCTTTCATTTCTAAATACACTTCTTAATATTAAAAACCTTTGAAATCTGTGTATTTCACTTCTCTGTCGGAGTGATTTAAAATTTGGCTGTCTCAGTATACATTTTTCTATCTTAGTAAAGTGCAGTCTTCAAACACAGTAAATGTATTCATTCAACAAACAGTTGAAATCTCACTAAGGCCTTCTGTAGGGCATGAACTGAAGATTACACTGCCTACAGCTAGACATTTTGTAGGAGAGATGTTGTTTCCAGAAAATAAATAAAATTGTATTATTCTTTATAAACTAAATGCTAATGAACTATGGATTTACTTACTGTGTTTTCTCATTATGATTAGGAAACACTTCCCATATTAATTGGGACCCTCATAACGAGCAGCTTCTGAGAAAAGCAATGAAATGAGTAGAGATTTGGTAGGAATCTAAACCTGAGCTGTTCAGTATTATCACTAGCCACATGTGGCTATTTACATTTAATTAAATAAAATTAATAATTCAGTTCCCCAGTTGCATTAGCCACATTTCATGTGCTTAGTAGCTACATGTGACTATTGGCTACCATATTGGACAGTGTGATAGGACATTTCCATCATTGCAGAGAAAGTTCTAGGTGGCATTGATCTAGATCAGCCGTGGGCAAACTACGGCCCGCGGGCCGGATCCGGCCCATTTGAAATGAATAAAACTAAAAATAAAAAGACCGTACCCTTTTATGTAATGATGTTTACTTTGAATTTATATTAGTTCACACAAACACTCCATCCATGCTTTTGTTCCGGCCCTCCGGTCCAGTTTAAGAACCCGTTGTGGCCCTCGAGTCAAAAAGTTTGCCCACCCCTGATCTAGACCTAATCTTATTGCAGGAGAATTAAGTCTTTCCTGGAAAGGAAAGCCCGCTGATTCAAATTGAAGCAGCAAGTGATCAGAATCCCTGGAGGTTGCCAGCACTTTTCCGTAACTCCTCACTGGCTAGAGAGTCTCAGTTCACTGTGTTGGGGTGATTTCTGCTGTGTCTTCCTTGAGAGCCAGAGGCCAGTTAGCTCTGTGTGTGCCTTTTCTTGGTTTGAATTTCATTCTGATGTTACTAAGGCAGTTACTGTTAGTGCTAGAAAACAATTTTAGGAACCAAAATGGAGAGTAATTTTTTATTTTTTAAATCTCCAAATCAGGTACGTTACAGGAGTATCAGAAGAGGATGAAAAAACTAGATCAGCAGTACAAAGAGAGGATACGAAATGCAGGTAAGACACTATCTTAAATGGAACTATATCATCTTCAAATTTTCTTCCTTTTGCTGATCATCACTGTAATGTGGCCATATGAGCTTTGCTTCAAAATATATCTCAAATATCTCATTGAAGGGAGAGTTTTAGGGAAGAGACTATGCAAGGATCATAGTTGAGGTTGTTAGTGGTGGCTCCTTGCAGTCAGGAGCCATATCCTGATGACTGTATCTAATGACTATATCTCCATTGTCCCAGCATCCCTCACGCCTATATCCCCCCTGTTACCCGAAGAATCACACATTCTTTCTTGGGTCTGCATGGCTGGCTTTATGGACGTTCAGAGGAGCTTACAGGGAAAAGGATTGTAGGTTGTTTCACTCCTGTTTTGAGTTTGCTGCTTCTAGTATTCTGTGCTCTGGGAGGAAAGAGTGTCCTCTTGTTTTTCTCAAGTATTATAAACATTTAGAGAAAAAGAATATGTTTTTGGTCTGTCATACACAGTAAATGTATTCATTCAACACATTCAACAAACAGTTGTTGAGTATCTGCTACATCTAAGTTCTGTGAGCAATATAAATAGTGTAAGACATTGTCCTTCACTTAAGGAAACTCACTGTTTCATTGACAAAAGATATCCAAAAGTGTAAATGAAGGAACATTATAAGTTAAATAAAGAGTTATGCAAAAAGTAAGATGTGATGACTACTTAGAGTGTGTAAATACAGATTACTATGTTTACAGGAAATCTTTAAAGATATATTTTTAAAATATATCTTTAAAAATATATTTTTATTGACTTCAGACAGGAAGGGAGAAGTAGAGAGAGACAGAAACATCAATGATGAGAAAGAATCATTGATCAGCTGCCTTCTGCACGCCCCCTACTGGGGATTGAGCCTGCAATCTGGGCATGTGCCCTGTCCCAGAATTAAACCCTTACCTCCTGGTTCATAGGTCGACACTCAACCATGAGCCACACGGGTGGGCTGTGTTAAATTTTGAAACTTCTCATCAGCTAACATTTTGAGTACAGCATGGTATTTGTTTCTGCAGTGGTAAAAGTGATGTTGGGTTCTAAAATGAGGTCTAGGTGCTGTCCTCTTTCTTTCCGAACCAGTGTCTTCCCAGCTTTCTGTTGATGGAACCCTTCCTTCTCTCCGTCAGTGAGTAGATGTTCAGTGGACACCAACAGATGGAAAAGGAGCTGAAGGCGTGAGGGATGCTGGGACAATGGAGATATAGTCATTAGACCTCTGCCTATCTACAGCCCTCCTGCCCCTATGATTACCCCACACCCCTTCCACTCTGAGTTCCTGAGGCATCTCCTTGGGATATCTTTAAAAATCTCAGTCCTCCTGGAGTTCCCTTTTAGCAGGGAAAGGAGGTGTTGCCGTGGAGACTGAGGTCCTTAGGTCTAGGTCTTCCATCACTTTAGGTCCTGTGCCTTTAAGCAGGTATTTGCTCTTGGAGCCTTAGTTTCCCCATCGTAGAGGGGAACCTACCTCACGGAATTGGTTCAAGATATAAGTAAAGAAAGAAAATTGATGTGAGCAACCTTTCTTAAGCTAGAACTTCAGGGTGAGCATTGAGTTGTTTTTCTTACTTCCATTCTCAATTCTGTCCTCACATGATCTTTCCTAAACATCCTCCCACCCCCATAAAAATGCAGAAGAGCCCCTAAATTAGTCATGGCTTGAGCTTTAAAAAGCACATTCCGTGCAGAGATAATCCACCTGCTTTAGTTGTGTGTGTTGTCTGGCTGCTTTAAAACTGCCACCAACTCTAAATGCTAATTGTCAGTTTGACTTGTTGGTGCAGGCATAACTTCTCAGAATGGCACAGACCTCAGATGTCTGGCCTGTTCATGAGTGGATCAAGTATGAAGCAGTCAGGAGGAAGCATGTTGGACTGGCTGTGTTCTTGTGCCCAGGGATTTCCAGTGATCAGGGCTTTGGGCCGGGGTTAGAAAATAATGAGTGCTTGTCCCTCTGCTCAGTTAATTTTTCTCATTCAACAACTGTTATTTGACATTTAGATTCTTAATCTGGAGTCCCTGAAACTCAAAACCTTGGACATATGTGTGAATGAGCATATGTGATAGTTTTTATGGGGGAATAGCGTCATAGGATTGATCAGATTTGCAAAGGAGACTGTGGGGAAATGTGAACAGCACCCCCTGGAGCGGTGATCTGCCAACAATCTTTGTGGATCTTATGCAGCAACTCCAGTGTCACCCAGGAAAGATTACAAGTCAGGGACCTGTTTTGTTCCAAGCTTTGCGTTTTGCAGAGGGCTTTTCAATCTAGTGGTGGGGAAGCCGCTGGATTAACAGTTGCTAATCTCCTGGCACACAGAGGGTGCTAAATAAGCTGTTGAATACGGTGGGTAGATACCTTCAGGTGTCTGAGAGGGGGTTGATGAGTGAAGGGGCCTCAGGAAAGGCCTGTTGGAGGAGGCTGCATTAGATTTGACACTTGGAAGTGAATCAAAGAGACCAGAGGGCATTGCTGATGAAGGCAAGGCTGTGAACAGAGGCTTGGCGGCCTGGGAGCAAAGCCCAGGAGGGCGCAAACCTCTGCCTTCTAAGTTTTTGGGGATTGTCCTTCCTTACCACATAGAGCCCGTCACACAATACTTTACAAACATCAATGTTGACTCTTTCTGGAGTAAGTGCATTGCTTCTTCCTGCCCCATCCTGCCCTGTGGGACTGTTGGAGGATATGTACTGAGAGAAAGAAGGGATCACTTTTATTTTTATTTTGTCGAGGTTGTTTGGTGCCTGCCGCTTGTTTTTGCCCTTGGACAGAACTGCCAGAGCTGATGCTGTCAGGGCCAACTTTTAAGTAGACACAATGCTTCTTGCATCCTTCCCCTTCATGTATATCAGCACTTTACTGATGAAAACATTTGCTCTGTGTAATTGTGCTTTCAGAAAGCAATTACTGCTCCTAAATGAATCCTAACATACTGTCTAGAAAGGTGACACAGCCTAGCGAATCTAATTGCACGTTTTATCTCTTTCAGAACTCTTCCTGCAGCTGGAAGTAAGTACCATGGATCTTCTGGGTTTGCAAGCTCTTTCTCAGATTGGAATCTTGCTCTCCCAACTGGTGGTCTTTCCTTCTATCACAAAATAGATAGTTGGGAAGCCTCCAGCTGGAACCCTTTGTCTCTGTTCTGTTTGACAAAAGGACATGTGGTCTCAATTCAGAAATTCCTTCTATTCATTTGTTTGTTGGGCAGCCTCTGCTTGTCACGGGACTAGGGGACACTCACCCCTGAGGGCTTTCTTGTTGACTTTGATCTCACATTAAAGCTATTTCCCTGGGAGTATGTCTGAATTATAATGGTCTAATAATTTGTTGTATTGGTCCTCGAAGGAGCCCAGTTTCTGAATTGGCTCAATAGTTCAGTTCTATAGCTGAGACTCTGGGTTAGCAGGGAAGACGGATTAAAACTTTTATTTAGCAGACATGTAGTGCTGGTCTGTGTGAGGCCAGGGATGAGGGCCGCCTTAAACTTGAACATGAACAATGTACTGCTCCCAGGGTGGCTTGTGG